AGTTCTCCCTTTTGTCTATTTCCCTGTATTAGAGAAGATTCTGGTTAAACAAGGCATGCATATAAAAGGTTTCCTATTAAGTGGGTCCACCAATGCAAGTATTTCAGTCATGGTCCACATTTTGCCGAGAAAGTGGGAAGGGATGGATCCTTACTGCAGCAGGCTTCCAGTAGGGGTGGCATCAAGAACACTGATGGAGTAGATACATCTCAGGAAGTTCCAGCAGTCCCTGCCTAAGGTCTGGTAGGCATCTGGATTCTAATATATCCATAACTGAAATTGTGAAGAACCAGAGAACTACCCCCTCTCCCTACCATGCTGCTCTCCCAGCTTCCTCTTTTTCAGTAAATGAAATCACTACCCACACAATTACTCAAGCCAAGAAATCCTGGTGATAACTGGATTCCTCCTACCTTCCTCATGACCATCAACAGAAGCTGTCATCTCCAAAACGCATCTTGAAGTTCTCCATTGCATCCTTTCCACAAGGCAGGAAGGAATATCGCCCTATACCCCTATTCCATTTTTAAAACATTCAGTCCTTTCCTTCCTTCTCTTCCTCCCAGCCTGAGAAAGTACAAAAAAAAAAAAAAAAAAGTCCCTGGAATTTAACAGACTGACTTGGGGCAGGACAGGCCTGGAGTGCTCTGGAGGCCAGGCAAAGGGGTTAAAGGCCTCTGCCATTAGTGCCGCCTGATCCCCGGGGGCCACCGTAGGGGAAAAGTCCACAGTCAAATCAGGATGTGGAGTCAGATGAAACACCCCAAGAAGCCATGCTACTTTTGGACTAGACAGATCAGTTGTTTGCATTCACTGAACTTGGGTTATTTACATTCCAAGTTTCTGCTGGGAAAATAAGTGTACTGTCAACTGATGGAGTAGGAAATGTAGAATTTTTGTACATTTGTCATTTATGTTTGAAACCAAGAGTGATACGTCTATTTCCCTTTAATTTGAATGTGATTATTTCCCAAAATATTAAGCCAGTCTTTCACCTGGTTTTAGGAATTTAATAGTATAGCTATTACACTTAATTAGAAGAATAGACAAAAAGCATTCATGCTTACTCTCTGTATTGTTTATTCGTGGCAATTGAGGCTTATTGATAAAATATTTAACTTTAAATCATGTACCCTGAATTTTGAACTTCTTTCCCAAAATACAAGTAAAAAAGGAAGAGTATTTTTTTAAAATAGCAGCCCTTAGCAACATGTGGTTATTGAACATTTGAATCGTATATAGTGCAAAAAAGAAGGCAAAGTTTAATTGTAATTAAAATTTCAATGCCAATGTGGTTAGTGGCTATCATACGCGTGGCACAGCTCTAGAGACACTGACAGGCCTCTTTTGATTCAAGGACACCACACCCTTTACTCCTGTATCTGTCATGATATTTTTGTTACAAATGACAAAAATTCAGAGTGGGTTAAACAAAGTTCAGATGAGAGAGAATCCAGGGTTGGTTAATCCAACAGCTCTAATGCTCACACAGAGTCAGGTTCTTCCCATCATCCTTCACTGCCAGCCCTGGTGTGTCAGCACTATCCTCAGGTTGTTCCCCTAATAGTCACAAGATAGCTGCAACAGTCCCACCCATTACATCTCTACCTAATGCTTAGAAAAAGACCACAGCTGTCTCTGTTTCTCCTTCTAAAAATGAAGAAAACTTCTTACATCTCAGCCAGAATTTTAGCATACATCTCTTTTTTTTTAACCACATTTTTTATTTTAAAATTGTGGGGTACAGTCAAGGGTTACGTATACAAATATGCCGGAGACCAGCCTCAGCCGGGTTCAGGGTACCTCAAAGGTGGAGACGGCGTCAGTGATTGGGGGGAAGAAGAGAGAGAGAGAGAGAGAGAGAAAGAGACTGGACTCCAGTCTAGTGCAGAAGCGAATGAGTGTTATTGGGAATTACAATGGGTCTTTTATACACAAAGTCAGATGTGGGAGGGGCGTCCCCCACCCACCAGAAACCTTAATCCATGAAAACTTAATCAATGATTGCCTTTAAACCCTTTTCATATGATAATCTTAAAATCCCATAACAAAGGATAACCTAATCTGTGACTGACATATTCTATAAACCTTTTTCATCCTAAACTGATTGATTTATGCCAAGTTAAACAATTCTATAGAAGCTTAAGTATTTACTTTACAAACGAAAGCGGCCCATCCCAGAATGTTTGGAATGTGGCCCAGTCCAAAGTACCTGCAAGTAACCCAGCCACATTCTTTCAACAAAATGGCTGTCTTCTAAAACTATATTCTACAATTTACACCTTCAATAAATCCTAAGATCATGACCCAGAAGCCTGTGACCAATACTAAGGCTCTTAGATGTGACCCGAGTTTGAATTATAAGTTGTGTGAAAGCCAAAACTGCAGTTTGCGGAAGAATGGGAGCAATGAGCTTCTAAAGTTAGCTTGTGTTTGTCCTGGTCTCAGAGTTTTTATGTTTTGAGCTCACAGGAGCTTAATCTGATTAGTGCTGAGTAGAAAGGGGGAGGAAATGGGGTCAATAGCTCCCGAACGCATCCTAGTGGTCTTGGGGTTAACGGCCCTTCCTGATCCCTAACACTCAGTGGGCCTCTGTGGCCGGCTCCCAACACAAATATGCATCATTCAGGCACCCTTGTTGATAAGGGGTGTCCCCCTTAGCCTACATTTCTATCTAAATCAATCACTGGCAAGAGGAATGGAATCACTACGCGTGGCTCAGCCCCTGCAAGAGTCAAACCCTGGAGCTGGATTTGTGCTGTTTCCCAAAACACATGGCTGGAGGAAAAGGGGGGATACCTGAACAAAACAGAGCCCTCAGGGAAAGTGGGGACTTGCACACCTTTGTGCTGGGAAGAGGAATGTGATAGGAGAACTTCACCTTCTCTTCTTGTAAAACCAAACTGAACTAGTTGGAAGTTTCCCTGTGGTAGTTGTTTTAAAATGTGGTACCTGCACCAACAGCACCAGCATTATCCAGAAACTTTTCAGAGAATTTAAAATCTTCAGGTCCCACCTTATATCTGTTGACTCAAACCCAGGTGATAGTACCAAGAATCTGTGTTTTAACAAGCCTTCTAGCAGTTTCTGATACACCCTAGAGTTTGAAAAACATTGTCCTATTCCATTGGTTTTCAATTGGGGGCAATTTTGCCAGCAGAGGACCTTTGGCAATATATGAAGGCATTTTGTTTGTCACATCTAGGGTATGGGGTGCTACCAGCATCTGGTAGTAGAGGTCAGGACAACGTGCAAGACAGCACACACAAATAAGTGTCCAGTCCTAAATGGCAAGACTGCCAAGATTGAGAGACCATGGGGCAGAGGAAGCTCCTTTGCAGTGACTGCAGCCCACCTAGCTCTCCACATGGGATTCAGGACTTTGAGCCAGTCAGCACAAGGTTTGACAAGTCAAGCACCTTCAGAACAAAAGAGACAGCAAATCCCTTCAATTGTCTGATCAGCTCTCCTAAGTGACAAGTAATCTGGCTATAAACTCAGTTAAATCAGTTCCGGGGAGGGGGGGGGGG